CCCAAAAAGCTTCTGTATGCAGTTGTAAAAATTAACCTTCTGCTACTTATTAATTACCACGGCAAGGATTTGGGAGAATCATGAGGTGGAATTTGGTAGTACAAACCACCTATTTCCCTTTCCAGGGATGCTGTGTTAGCTGGAAAGCACCATCCTGTCCAACGTGCTTAGGTTACACAGTCTTCTCTCTTTCCACAGTGACACTGCTCTCACCACAGGCTGGTGTGAACTCTTCCCAGAGGATTTTGTGTATTTGAGGGGACACTGAATAAGAGGACTTCACTGAGCTGAAAAACTCTTGAGCTGAGGGTAAATGTAGTTGTCTAGGAGAGAGTTAAGAGTCACTATCAGCTTGTTACTGCCCTTCTTAGGTTGTGACTACAGCTGGAGATAGGGTATTTTGGCTAGCTGGTGTCTAGAGCAGTTCATAGGGAGCCCAGTGCAGAAACATCTGTCTCCAGGAGCCGGCCTGGAGCAGATTGAGGGTTTGTACTCCTGGGTGCAGAATAACGTGAACAACACTGTCCTCCTTTGTAGTCTGAGCCACGCCGTCCTGCTCAGAAACACCAGGCTTGTCAGACTTGTCACCACGGAGGTGACAGGCTTGTCACCTCTGAGCTCCCTCAGGTCCCTGCAAAGCCCTGAGGCAGAGCTGGAGTGCTGCCTCGAGGAGGTCCACATCCCCTTGCTCATCCCCTTCATCTCCGAGCCGAGGCTGTGCAGCCTCCCTGACGTCAGTGCCTCAGCCAGGAATCCCCTGCACAAAGCTGCAGTGGCTTCGCCCCTGTTTTCCTAGCACACATCATTCGGGAGCCTCCAGCGCTCAGATGCAGGCACATCATTTCGGCTGGCTTGAGGCATTGCCTCTGGGAACCCCTGCCTGGGAAACGTGACTGTGTTCAGGACATTCCCAAACCTCCAGAGCTGAAACACAACCGGCAGAGTCGATTATATTACAGCTGAGATTCTTAAATAAGCAGCACTTGATGAGTGCAGTGGGATGTTTAATAAGAGCCTGCTCAGCCCCCCAGTGTCCCCCACCTCCCAGAACCACTCCTAGAGGCAGCTCTACAGCCGGTGAGGGGAGAGGCAGCGAGGCAATGTAATTTGTATTCCAGCTCTGCTACTGCTCCTAGTGCTTCCAAGAAGCAAGTAAAAATAGCACTCCGTCATTTTGTAAATAATAGCTATCTCCTCCCGGGCCCAGGGAGTCACAAGCACTTACGGGGGGATTGCGGGAAGGGGGATGGCTGCCTTGAGCCCGAGCCAGGAATATGGGGTTTTGGAGGGGGGACAGGGGAGGGTGGGGGAAAGGGAAAGCCTGAGGCCCCCCAGCAGCAGCTGCTGCTGCTTTATTCCTTCTGCACACTCGAGGAAGCGCCCGACCCTGCTGGTGTGGGGTTCAGGGGCTGGGGCTGGCTCTCCACCCAGGGCTGGGAGGGGTGATTGTGGTGTACACAAGCAGCTAGATCTGGGGTAGCACATTCCTGGAGGAGAGGGGTGGCTTTTAAAGAGCAGGCAGGTGTAGGAAGTGCCATGGTAACACTGTGGGAAGGGTTGTTTTGTTTTACATTTGCATTGCAGATCAGCCCAGCTGTGGGGGATTTCTCCAGGCAGGAGCAAGGCAGCGTGGCCTGGCAGGCAGAGTGCAGGCGTTGTACCCCATGCAAAAAAGGGCAGTCTGGTCGACCTGCAGCACCTTATTTCTGCTCCCACATGTGCTCCAGATGGTTGCAGACACATGATTGTGCTGGAGCTTGGGAATAAGCTGAGCCTATAAATGGGAAAAGCCCCCAGACAGGGGAATCAGCCTCTAACAAATGACTTAGGAACAGGGCATGCCACTGGGATCTCTAAATCTTTCCCACGTTCAAATGTTGAACCTGAAAATCTCTTGCTCTTCTAGTTTCATGTCGGCTTGAGGATCCTTTCTTGCTTTCCTGGTCTTCAGGTGCAGCAGCCTGAGGCATGGTGAGGCTCAGCAGGGTGGCTGGAAGGGGCTTGTGCAGCCCACCAGGAGCAACACCAAGCCGCCTGCTGGGCAGTGGTGCTATTCCTTAGGGCAGCTGGAGCTAGGCTCTGGCTCTTGCTCCATTCTGGCTTCCTACCTGAACCAAGCCTCTTGTTTTTTTGTTTTCCTGCTTGTAAACAGGACCAGCAGCATCCACTTGCCACCCCAGCAGGCTTGAAGGTTCAACTTGTGCATGTAAAAAACCTTTGAATTACGGGAAAGGATGATGCTAGGAAAAGGAAAAATGCCTTTTAAGGTTCTGCAGCACGTGTAGGAAAAGTGCCTAACCCTCTGACCCTTAATCTTTGGTGAGAACTGGACAAGACAGCTAAGCTGTGATGTGAGCATGTCTGTGGATTGCGGTGCAGCTAAGGATTTCCCTGCCATGTGTCTAAGCAGAGGCAGGAGATGCTGTTCTCTCAGCTTTCTCTTGCTGCAAAAGTGGATGCAGCTTCTTCTCGTTCAGGCACAGGCTGGATAGGTGTGAGGATAAAGAGGGGAGAGACTGGCTGAGTAGTTCCTGATTTCTCTGGAGGAGAAGGTCTCACAGTCATAGAGTCAGTGAGCTCAGGCATAGCTGCAAGTAGTGCAGATGCTCTTGGGCTACAGGATCATGAAGAAAGCCAATCTCGGAAGCTGGAGTGTGCTCTGTTCTGCTGGTGTTTTACTTATCTCTGGATTTCCCAGCTCTGCTGAAATCCCTGCTTGCATAGCAATGATTTAATTTCAGAAATCCCTCCGGATCCCAGCCAAATCCTGCCCTTGGGAGCACATATTAACAGGGAAAGTTCAGTCTGGCTTTAGCCAGGAAAGGTGCAGGGCATCAGTTTTTTAAGTGCTGAGGGACATCAGTGAGCCAGGGACGAAGCCCCAACTTGTCCCTGCACTGGGCGATGCATGGCCTGGCCTGGGAAGTATGTCTGCAGTCTGGACATGAGGGATTCTCTTCAGACCTGGGCTGTAATTAATTGTTACTATCAAAAAACATTTATATTAATAAATTAATGACATTTCTTAATGCTATTACCTTTGATTGTATTTACCAGTAGATTGAAGGGGCAGGAAGGGTTCTCTGGAGCTCTACGATGGCCAGGTTACAGCATGCTAGGTACATGAAGGCTCATGTAAAGGTTTCAGGATCATATCAAAAGGTGTCCAAAACTAGTTCTACCTTTTTGCCATTTTCATAATTTCCTAAATCTCTTCCCTTGTGCTTGGATGTGGCAGAGCAGATTGGACCCTTTCATGGATCCCTTTTCCTCTGTCCTCTCTGGTGCAGGGTCCGCTTCATTCTGCACCTCTCAAAGACTCTCTTCCCTGGCCATGGCTGCCCATGGATCCTGATCAGATATCTATGGCTGCAAACTAGCACCCAGGAGGAGATAGGAGAGAGAGTTTGTTTTCTCTAAAACATAATTAGCTTCCTCTCGCTGCATGTGGTAGCAGAAAGAGCTTTGGATCACTAAATGTTGTTCTGTGGGTCTCATTTGGGGACTTGTTTGGAGGGAGACAGAGAATACTCTGAGTGTTTAAGTCTTACAGAAGTAACTCGTTTTGTTTAGACTTCTGGGTGTTTCTGGAAGTGTACTGCATACATATTTCTCTTTAACCTTCTTTTTATCACATCAAGATGAGATCAAGGGTTACTTATATAGCACAATAATATCAGCCACAGGCTGCATCAAAAGCTTTTCTGCCATAATAACTAAAGACATGTATACGTATATTTTAGCCATTAAGAAGAAAACCCTGCCAGAATGCATTATCTTGTTTTGGGATGCAAAACTTTGAAGCACAAAACTAAGCTTCCTAGTACTGCAAAGTAACTGTCAGGGGACAGAACGATTTCCATAACTGAATTGAGCAATGGGCCATCCAGGCTACTTGTAAAGCTGCTGCAGTGGCCAAAACTGGGTACTGTGCATAAAACACGAACCCTGCTTTGGGGCTTTAAATTGGGTCTTTCATTAGCGGAGCAGTTCTGAGCTGGCTACTGCCATACAAAAGGAATGCAACAGCATGTTCTATCTCTGAAGTGGTGAGGATTTATGGTAACAGAGTGCTAAACTTAAGGCACCTCATCCATCATTTTTTTCAATACAACCCAGTGGGCAGAGCATAGGACCGTAAATCTGGTAAATCGCTGTGCCTTGATTTCCCTGCAAAATGGGACAGCAGCAGAGATTGCAATTAGGAAACGTGCCAAAATCGAATGAAGTCAAGGAGAGCTGTATGTGCTGTTCAGCACGTACTGATGGCCACGTTCTGCAAAGCACTCCAGTTTATCGGAAGACATTTGGTTAAAATTGCCCCTGGGTTTCAGCACCTGGGGCAGCAACTGGGAGTCTGTGGCTTTGCTGGGGCAGTGGGGCTGCTGTTCAGCATCCATGAGGGCATCACAGCCTGGGATGCAGGGGAGCATGTGATGTGGGTGAGCAGCAGCTTTGCAAGAGTGAGGCACTTTAGCGAATAGCAAGCATGATGGCAGTAAAAGGCAATCAGAATATTGATTCTTTTTACATACAGATAAGCCTGAAGCTGTAACAAACCCAGGATTTCCTAAAACTGGTGGAACATTGCTAGGCTGTTTATCAGGCTGGGAGACACAAAGGGATTTCAGATTAAAAGGAGTTTGAAAGCATAAGGGCTTACCTCTCTATTGAAAACGTGTGGATCTGTACCACGTTATGGATCATGCAGGCACATAGATTTTGTAAATACGTATTGTCTGGCCATGTGGGACACATTCGTCCTCAGTGTAAGCGTGGGAAGCAGCAGAGCTGCATTGGAGATGAATTTGCCCAATTACGAGTGATAAAATCAGCCGTTGTTCAGGGCACAGAGCACAGTGCTGAGAGTTCAGCAGAGAGGCGCCTGGCAGGAAAAAACACCATGTAACAAACCCCAAACCTTTCCCTGTACAAGCAAATTCAGTTCTCTGAATTTCTCTCTAATTATTTTTTTCCCTTTTTTTTTTTTTCTGTCCCAGACAGTGTAACCGAAGTCAAGACAGACATTTACGTGACAAGTTTTGGCCCTGTCTCGGACACAGATATGGTAAGTGCCACTGGTCACTTCACGGGGAGGGATGGCTTCTCCTGCAGCCACCGCAGACATGTCCCACCCTCATCCCAGGACAACCTGGACAGTAGCAGGATTTTTCTAAATGGCAAGAGCTGGTGGTAGCTCAGTGCGAGTGGTAGACAGGGATTGCATCTCAGTGTGTTTGGGCTTTTGGAAACCAACTGATAACACACCCTTGGAGGGCTTTGCATCACTCAGACATGCTGCAGGCTGTAGCGCCTTTTTCTTTCCTGCAAGTGCAACCTAATAAAATGAGGGGTCTGCCCACAGGACCCAGACCTGTATATAGCATGCTCCACTCATTACCTGCCTTGATAAGCACCTTTGCTGTAGCCAGCTTCCCCTGAGTTGCCTGTGTTTGGAGGAAGGAGGGTGCTCCCTGGTAAGAGGGGAGGATGCCAGAATCTGGTCTGGTTTGGTGGCAGTGCCAGAAGAGAATGGTTCACCATCAAACTGTCCTTAGTGCTTGAACCAGAAGGGAGGCAAAAGAGAAAAAAGAAAAAAGTATGAACTGATTGCAATATTTTGACATGCTCAGGGAAAATTATTAATGAAAAGGCCTGAGGTCTGAATTTAGGCTTGTATTCCCACAACAGTTTGTCTTCTAATTAAAACAGGACTGTGGAGCATAATTAATAGTGAGGTTTCTCAACAGCATTTCTTGCAGCTCATATTCCACATGCGTCCAGGCACACAGAGAAGAGTTGGTTGTTGGTGGTTCTCACAGTTCAAGGATGCTACATGAGAACAGTCATTCATTCAGGACCGAGACACTCCTGTACATCCAGCACCAGAGGTGATGTGGCAGTCCTGGCCATGGAGGGACCCTGCTTTGGGAGAGGGAGCAGGCTTTACTCTCACCAGCTGGGTCAGGTTGGAGCAGTGCCCTGCAGTCCCTCTGGAGCTGAGAGCGTTTAATTTTCTGTGCTGATGTAGCCATGAACTTCAACTGTCCTACCAAGAGTCCTGTGCTAGCAAGCAGAGCCAACAGTCCTGTGCTGGCAAGCAGAGGAGTTGGGGGAGAATAAAATCTCTGTGTTTCATGGAGCTGCTCACCCCATCATGCAAGCCCGTGTTGCTTTGGGAAGACCACTCCCTCCAGGGTAAGCAGTTAACTTGATGTCAGCATAGTTGAGACTATTAACCTCATCTGAGTTCTCTCTTTCTCTCTCTCTCCTGCTTTCCTACCACAGTGGAGACCCATAATATATTCAGCAATCGTAGCCCTTGGGGAGTATCTGATAATTACTTCCAAGGTGGAGCATATTTGATTAAGGGAGTGTGTATAATGAACTGTGAAGAAGAAATATGAGGTATTGAAAAGAGGAAGGTATTCTCTGGGATGTGATTTGACAAAATGAATTTAAAATTAGGTAGACAGTTAAAGAATAATAAATTATTTCCCCTTCACGTGCTTTCGTTCCACGTATTTTACAAATGCATAGCGAATGTGTTTTAGCCTGCTGTGCTGCTGCTAAATGCACTCAGAAACGTGAGGGAGAGAAAACCCATCTCAGGAAGCGTGGGGAGAACCTGCTCTTCTGCCATGGTTCTTTTCATTTCAGAAGTGGGGAAGTCCCTCCTTCCACACTGACATCCACCGGGCGAGCTGCTCCCATCCCTCCCACAGCCATTACTCATTGCCGTGGAAAGCCGCTCCGGCGCATCCTGATGCAGAGACTGTAATTATGATGATGGAGGAGAGGCAGGTAAAGCTGCTGTGGAATGCAGAGGAGAGCAGCTGGCTATGAAGAGTGGAGGATGCATAGACCTTTCCATTGAGATGCTCCAAGGGACTTCTAATCTCTCTTTTAGTTTGGTTTGGAAAGTAGAGCCTGACAGGACTTGACATGTGCCTGAATCTTCCAGTACCAAGCTCTTCCAACTTGGCCTCAGTCCCCAGGAAATTATAAAAAGGAAAAAAAAGTTCAAGGAAGTTTTGTTTTGTGGATGAACTCTGAAGACAGACTCAGTCTTTATGTTTTCAGTCACTTCTATAAGACAGAGAAGAGCATAACATAGAACTTGTGTGCTTCTTGGAAAGGGTGAATTGGGAATGATGCTTTTATGGAAAGAATTCTAGAAAAGAGGGAAAGAATCTGAACATGATTTTTCTTTTCTTCAGAAATGATTCCATAGTATAAAAGAAGAAAGTTGTTAAAAATGTTTTGATTCTTTGTTCATTTCTATTTTTAATAGAAGCAGGGAGTTCTGAGTAAGAGAGCTCTTCTCCTCATAAGGACTTTTCCCAAACCTTCTGGGACTGCACACAGGCTCATTTCTTTGGTTTTATCCCTTTACTGAGCTTAAAACCATGAAGCAAAGATCACTTCCTTGAAGGGGCAGAATATCTTGTACAGAGAAGAGCCTGTGGGAATGTAAGATCTTCTCTTTCCTTCCCCCAGCCAGGCTCCAGAAGGTTCACATTTGAGCAGGGGTGGCTCCATGGCCAGGGAGCAGGGATGAATTTATTTACCAAGATGCTTTCATTCAGCTGCCATCTGCTGCAAAACCTGTAGGAATTTCTCTGTCCTATAGGAAACTGATGCACAGCAGTTTTTAGATGCTGCTGAGAAGTGCTGCAGGAAAGCAATCACTCACAATGATAAGTTTAGTTGGTCCTGCAGCCTCCAGGAACACATAAATAAAGCCTATAAGTCTGTGATGGCAGGGAAAGAACAGTTGGGACAGACAGAGCCCCCATCTCTCTCTAAAAGCCTTGTGATTCAATGAAAGCCTTCATTAGCAAGGGGTGTGTGCTGTGGAGATGAGCAGTGGTGCAGCTCATGCTGATGGGCTGAAGACTTCCCTAATGTGACATGAACCCTCAGAGGACATGGGCTGGCTCAGTACACAGGGAACACTGTGTAGGTTCATTTGATTTCCCTTGGGTTGGCCATGGAGCTCTAGTGCCTTTGCTGCTTGTCCAAGTGGTTTCTGAGGCAGTACACACCAAGTGAGGAGCTGGCCCTGACTGCAGGGGCTCAAAGACCTGACCTCTAATTGCCCTTGCTGGAATTTGGCCTTGGAAATGGGTTTCTACACTAGCTGAAAGAAGGAAAAATAATAATAAAAAGATAAAAGGAAAAATATGGGGAAAAGAAGACAAAAGAAAGTTACAGGATCTTGTAATGCAAGTTTGTGAAGTCCTTGATTCAATGCCTTTCTTGAGGTGGCCTGGGGAGAAAAATAAGATTAAGATAATGTCATGAAAGTTTATTTTCTTTTTATGAGCAGGGGTACAATTACCAGCATCCTGGCCAAAACCACCTCCAGGTTTTTTTATTTTTGCCTCTTAAAATACTCATGTAGCTGCACACAATGGGCTCCTTCCCCTGAAACACCTGGATAAAGGTGGTGATGTAGCTCGGCTACCCCAGCACTGACTACTGTAGGCTCCACTGCAGCTTGTCTGCAGTGGTCAGAAATACCAAACTGCAAATTTTGGCCTCATAGGTAAGTCATTATATGAAATGTGGTAAATGCCATCTATCCTCTACTACTGTTAATCCTTTCTCCTTGTTGCACCATGTTTCATATCACTCAACATGTGCCAAAATACAGTCTGCTCCATCACAGCAGATACCGCCTCTTGATTCACCTGTTTTGCAATGAAGAGCTGAATAAAGCACGACTTATTTTTCTCTCTCCACAAAGGAATACACTATTGATGTCTTTTTCCGGCAATCCTGGAGAGATGAAAGGCTGAAGTTTGATGGTCCCATGAAAATACTTCCCCTGAACAACCTGCTGGCCAGTAAGATCTGGACTCCTGATACCTTCTTCCACAATGGGAAGAAATCTGTTGCCCATAACATGACAACACCCAACAAGCTGCTGCGCCTGGTGGACAATGGCACTCTCCTGTACACCATGAGGTAAGTTTGTGCCTCCTGGCCACAGTATTTCAGGTCTATATGCAGGCCGGAATGTGGTCTCAGGGTACATTACAGCAGGGTTTGTACAGACTTCCACCAACTCTGTTAGCACATTCGAGTCTTACCCTGCTGCCTTCCTTGCTTTCCTTGTTTCCTACCTAGGTATCATCCCTGAGCCTCAACTTACACACATTTTTACAGGTAGTTTTTATCTCACCATTTACATTGATTTTTTTCTTTTTTGTGATGAGGTGGAGGTGTTGGGACCTATAGTTTGTGAGGCTGATATGCCACCTGACTTAATTTTGTTCCTGACCTGTGATGGGATATGAACCAGGTATCCAGTATTGGTAGGGGAACGTTAGGATGAGAGAATTTGTTATTCTCCAGCAGCTTGAGAATAGATTTAAATTTGTTCAGCATGTTACAGTGGAGCCATTTCAAACATCTAATAGGACCAAGCTTGCTTGTGAGAACAATGGGACATTCTTTTCCTACTTCATGGAATCAGAAGTCCAGATCTGTGTGATCAGTGCACATCATTAGGGAAAAAACTCAAACCAAACCCCAGCTTACTAAAAACTGTGCTTTGGAGGAGCCAGGTTTGCAGGGGCTGTTGGAAGTTCTAGGTTCAACCCAGCCCAAGTTGTCCACTATGAGCTCTCGGTGAGAGCTCTGAGCATGAGGCAGCCCTGCAGCATGAGAGCCCAGGCAGTGACACAGCCTATGTAACCTCTCTGTGAGCTCCAGCAACTGGGGCTTTCCTCTGAAAACACCAGTTGCTGTTGGAGAACTGTGCTTGGGAAGCCTTCTCTGGATTTCTCAAGAACAGCCCTGGTATGTTCATTTATCACTAAGCTACAACATTTTGAGAGCATGAAGTAAATGCCTTTGGGTTAATTGTATGTTCATTCCAGAACTATTGAGAGATTCTTGTATGCTTGTAAGCTATTCACCCATGTCAATGATGTTTGCCACCTGGGGTTAATGTACTAATTTGCCTTCTGAGGTAAATGGGCTTATAAATGAAACAACAGGCTATTCATAGATGCACAAGAAAGATATTGAGTTGCTTTTGGAAAGGTGTAAGACTTTGTTTTAAAAAATTATTTTCTCTGTCACTAAGCCAATCCTAACAGGCTTTATTGTGGATTCTGTGTGCTGAGATGCTGCACTTTCACCTCTGTTTTTGAGGACCAGGCAGAATTTCATCTCTTCATAGTTAAACTGCTGTGAATCTACATGGTGTCAGCAAGTTTTACAGCCTACATTGATAAACAATACTCTGCTTTTGCACAGCCGTTCTCAAATATGAGCTAATCCTGCCAGTGCCCTGGAGGTTTAGGTCTCCACACATCAGTGATCTCACATTAAGGCAGATGGGGTAAATGAAGGGAGAAGCCCAACTTGACTTAAGGGCTCAGTTCTGCTCCCAGCGCTCTGACCTGCATGTAGGCGACTAACACTCCCCCCATTTTTATCATTGTCTGACTGTGAAGTATTATAGGAGCTATTGGCATAAGACAGCAAAAAAAAAGGGACTCACTTTCAGAGCTTTTGTGTCATTTCACTTCTTTATTCAGCAAGCAGCCATTAGCTTCAGCAAGTTTTGTGAGACTAAGAAAGTACTGGATTTACTCTTCCATTTAGGGCTGGGCAGGTGCCAGGATGGCAGCATCATGAGACTCCTGGGAATGAGCTTCTGGAAGAAAACGGAGTCATGGGATTTTTAAATAAATTCAAAACTTCCTTCAGTTTAGCTGTCTCCTGAAGAAGGGGGAATGAAGGACCTTCCTTTATGTGTGCTCCTGCCCCTCTTAAATATGCCTCTAAGACTTTGCAAGAGACGAAGAGTCCACTTGAGAGATACTCAGAGACTGAGGGCTGGATATGGGGCCTTTTGTCAGGTGTTGCATTGCACAGTACCAGGAGCTGTCATGCATGGAGATCTTTTCCCTACCGAGTGTGTGAAGCTATCCTGGTGGGGCTCTGAGCAGCATCTCCTGGTGCTGATGATGTGGTTGGAGCTGGCCACATGGCTGTCTGGAAAGCACTGCCCATTGCACAGGACAGCGTGTCAGGGGCAGAGCAGGGCTCCTCTTGGACTGCAGTTCAACACATCCAGGATAGGATGTCTGTCCTGGTGCATGTGATGATTGCCCTTCTTCCTCTTGCTGAAGGAAGGCCACACAGGATCTTTTGAGTGGGGCCTCAGAAAGGAAGATCCAAGGACACAGACTGCATGGGCCAGGACCATGCATCAGGCTGAGGCTCAGAGACCAAATCCTACCTTACTTTGCTGCTCCTAGGCACTCACACCCCATTTCCCCTGTAACATGATGATGTCCTTCCCTTGTTAAGTACTTTGAAACTTCCTCCCAGGAAAGGCCTAGAGGGATACTCCTGTTCTATGTCCAAGTGGGGCATTTGCTGTTCTCCCCCATGCACAGGAGCATGCAGATGTGTGCCTCTCAAAGGCAGGAGCAGGATCATGAAGCTAATCTGAGCCCCTCACAGCTGACATCCAGCAAATCCCAGAGTTATGTTCTGTCCTGCTGACTGTGGAGCAAGTCTGGACTTCTATCAGATTTCCACTGGACTGGCAGGACTGCCCAGGTGATCTCTTGCGGGCTGAGTCTAGACTGGTATCTTGCCATGTAGTTTGACTCCCGAAACATATCCTTCTCCTTTACCTTGTACCAGCCAATATCCTTGAGGGATCAGTTCTGCTGATGTGCAATTAGAGCCATGTCTCTTGCTATTTATCCTGCTGTGAAAGCCAACTTCTCTTAGTCAAGGCTTACAGTTATAGATGAAGTTGCTCTGGTGGAACAGCAACTCTGACACATATATCCAGCAAAATTACACTTGTGTGACAATATTTATAGCTCCTGGAGAGCGCCTCTTTATCACTGACCTGAGCTTCAAGAAGTCACATACCAGCTGTAGCTGAGCGTCCAGAGATTTCCTTTAGTCACAGCACAGACTCCTCACGGATCGGTGCAACGTCATGGTGCAAACATCTAATCACTAACAGGCCTTGGCACCTGGGTGACAAGATGGCCTTTGTGACTGCAGCACAGAATTGCATTTCTCTATTCCCCAGTATTACTGATCCCTCTGCATCTTCCCTGCTACTTCAGCTGGCTCAGAGGGCATGGAGAACACATTTGTATTATGTAGCCCTGCCTCTGCAGGCTTTTTTGTGGAGCTCCTACAAGATCCAAGTAGTTCACAAAAGCCCAGCTAGGGCCTCAAAGCTCTGGTGTCAGACTCGAGTGCAGCAAACTGGGAATTGTGCATGGATTTAAATAAGGTAGAGACAAAAGCTCAGCTGCTGCAGCAGTCTCTGGATGTACTTTCTGGCTCAAATCGTGTGGGGCACATAGATAATGTTCTGGTTCTTCCTGGCCTTGAAGCGTATGAAAATAGTGAAAGTTTAATGCTATGCTGCTGGGATTCAGCTTTGTGAATCCAGGCTTTAAAAAGCTCTCCTACTCTTAACAGGGACTGTCAGAATGGCATGTTGAGGCTTTGTCGTTATTGTCAGAGTGGTTCCCAGACAATAAGTGCTCAAGTTAGGCACTTAGAGGACGTTTTCTTTACCTGTCAGGCTGACACATTCAGCTGCATGCCCAAAGACTTTGTCTCAAGCACCTGTATTGCTAAAGAGGCAGTGCATGAGCGCTGAGGAAGGAGGGTTGGTGAGCCCTCAGGTGAGTCAGAGGCAGAACAGGAGGGAAAGCTGAATACAGAACACAATCAGACCTACAGGGGCTGTTGAACCCCAGATAACAAGTCCTCTACCTACTGTGGCATGCTCAGGGGTTTGAGCTTCCCACGCTGCTTTTTGAAATCACAAAGCTTTGCAGTGTCTCTCTAGCAAAGGTTCTGAGTTGTCTTTACTGCCTGTTTTTTTTAAAACCCCGGGCAATTTGTGATTGCCCCAGGCTGGAGCTTGCAGCACCCTTCCACATGATGGAGGTGCAACCTTTCTGCAAGAGCAGCAGCTCTGACATCCCAGCACCAGCTCTTCTGGGCAGTACAGACTGGCAGCTATTTGGCTGTGTCCCACATGGGGGGCTGATCATAGACAACAGGACAAATGGATCCGAGTAGACCAAAGCTAGACTGGTAAACACACAATCAGGCAAAGAGATGGGATGAGATTTGCACAGCCCACTTTTCCCTGCCTTACAGATGCCAGAGTGGATCCAAAGACAGAAATTATCTGTTTTCCAGGCTTGGCTTTGTGCAGGCAGACTTTTATAAGGAAATTGTCCCAGGAGGGAGAAATCTTCAGAGATCACCTTATCTCACGGCATTTCTCCCTTTATGGGCTGAAATCTCCACGGGCTGGGGGAGGATGCAAAGTGAATTCAGTGCTTTCAGATCCAGCACAAGGATCCTAGAAGCAATTTGGCTTTCAAGCTCAAACCCCAGCAATTAAACCTAACCTAGATTCTCACACAGCCTAAACCGTAAACACTCTTCGGCCTGACTGTGGTTATTAATGAATCTCCTGGAGAAGAAATCAGGACAAAACTCAAGCAATATCCCTGGCATAAACAAAGTCAGTTCTGCTGTGCAGGGTGCTGTCATGTTTTTGTACCACTCATACACCAAGGGATTATTACATTTGCGTCCCAGAAATTGGACTGAGATTCTCGCTCATCCTGCAGCACGACGCAGGTAACGACAGGGGCTCTAATGACACATCAAAGGCTTCGCTAAGCTCCCGGTAACCATGAGAACGAAGCTGAAGTGGTTTGTTATCCCGTCAGCCCTGGGAGAGGTATGTTTAGCCTGATTCACGCTTCTTGCCATTGTGTTCCGCAGTTCAAAGGACTTCCCATGACTTTAAAGGGAAAAACATGGTTTCTGTCCTGGATGTTCCACTTTTGGTGCCATTGTGCCAGCAAAGTGAAGAGAAAACATGAGGAGTTTGGGGTTTGACTTCAAGACAGTTCTGCATAAGTTATTGCTAGTGCCTGGGACGGATGAGCCAAAGGATACAGCTGCTGGATGATGTGATTGCTGGCAGCTTGGCTATTTTTTACATGCTGTTTAGGCTTTTTAAGGACATTTCAGGGCTCAGATGTCTGAACCTGTATAGGCCTTCAGAGCAACGAAGCAAAACCCAGTGGTTAGTTGTCCATAAGTTCCCTTGCGCATGGTAAGGGGCAAAGATGAGAATTTCTGCAATAAACTCTTTTACCTAAATGCTGCAGAGGTCATGGTAATTGTCTGGGAAGTGAGATACATTCCTTGTCACTTGACATTTTGACGTTTCATTAGGCAAAGCATATGGTGCTGAGGAGTCCTTTGCCAGAGACAGGAGGTGGGGGGGAAGGCCAGCGGGAGGGAGCAGAAGGGGAATGTGGGCACTCTCCTGAGTGGTGATTGATTCCACAGCTCATCTAAATACCTCTGCTAATTAGTGCTCTGAAGGATGAGTGTATGCACGAGAGGCTGCAGGAGGAGAGTGAAAGATTGCTGAGGGATGGATTGGGCAGGAATATGCAGCAGCTCTGGTCATGGGGAGAGTACACCCTGGCATGGAGGAGGCAAAGCAAAGGGGGAACACCTGGGAGGGGGAATGCTTGTATTGCTTCCCCCTTCAGCTGTGAAGCTGGCTCCCTTTGTGTGTTTTCTGTGGACATGCTGAATTCTGGCTGGCTGAAGTTGCAGACCCAGACTCATTTTGCTGGATGATACGACTTTTTCTTTTTTTTTATTTAATTTCAGGAGACTTAAAAACTCCTTCAGTAGTAGGTGGAGAAGTGGCAGATTAGTTTGCTTTTTCAGTGCCTTGTCGATGGGTTTATTGTGTTACTGTTTACTGGCTCAGTTAATAAAATATGCTTTAGGTTTAAAATGCAACTGGTGCATTTCCACACACCCACAGAATCATCCAGCATCCATATACAGTTGTCTCCTTCCCTTGATAACACTTGTTCCTGTTGGCCATGGCCTGTAGGGTATGGCCAAGGCCAGCTTGTGCCCACCTATTCTCTGCTGCCATCCTGTCGCCTCTGAGGCTCTTCCTGGCTGCATTAAATGGCAGTCAACCACCAGACCCACAGTCTGTTGTCCTTGGAGCTGTTCAGCCTTATTCATAGTGGCTGTTGATCACGGCTAAGGCTTGCAAGCAGTACAGTGCATGGAAAACTCTTCAGTGTTGTGGGGGTGAGTTCAGAAGGAAAGCAGTGATCAGAGGAGAGGTCCTTTGGAAAAGCCAACTTTGGGAACTCCCAGCTAAGAGCCTTTTAAAATAATAAAGCAAATAGCAAAGCCAACAAAAAAGTAGGAAGGTAAAAAGGAAAAGTCTTGTGTGGCCTGCTGAGACAGGGAAAATGCATCAACATTGCCTTGACACAAGTGACAGTGACAAATATGAGAAGCAAAAACTCCATTGCAGTTAGAAAGGACACAGAAAGAATTGAATAGTAAGATCCTTGAAGATATGCTTGACAAACTTGCCAACCATGAGCTCCCAGAGTGAATTTTGAGCTGACTGAACAAAATGTCACAAAAGAAACAGAACAGGAGGGACAAGGCTTTGAGTCCACACTGTGCTGCCAGGTTTTCATACCTGCTTCTTGAAATCCTAATCTTCATCTAGATTACAAAAGAAAGGCACCAGAGCCAATGAGCAATTTGTTCATGGTGGCCTTTGAATGTGCAGGAGAAAATCATTACAACAATGTGCTTGTAGGCTTGTCAAAATCACTGTCAGTCTATCAACTTCAATGAGTCTTGATTGAAGTCCATAAGATCAGGTGGTCTTCTCTCTCGTGTAAAACAGGTACATTCAGTCTAGACATGTAGAAGAGATGATCAAGTCAGAGAGAGTTATTTCTTTCCAAGAAGTTACATTGGCCACACAGTGGTTCTTGGATTGGCTGAGAAAACCAAGGTGGAGCCGGGCATAATGGAGGCAGGACAGTCATCATCACCTCTTTGTCAGCAGAGTGATTACAGGGCATAGTGGTCACTGGCCATGTACTTGGATTCAGAAAGGACTGGCAGACTCAGAGTAGGAAAGGTCTTCGGCCTCTGGTACACTCACTTGCCTGGATACAGCTTCTGCATCCTGGGAGCCATCAGCCCAGGATGCTGGGAGACAACAGCAAGTTGTGGTTTGCTCTGAATTCGTCCAGGTTTCTTACTTCTATACAAGCAGCCACTGGCCTCCTCTATTGGAGGTGGAATCAGCCTGTATAGACCAAATAAACCTGCTATGATTAAGCTGGATGGAGTATGGAGCATCAGCCATGGCTGGGCTGTGAGCTTTTGGGACCCAACAGGGAATGGAGGCTCAGCACTCAGCCCTCCAAGGCTGCAATGCACGTAGTCCCCATGGGGCGTATGGTGACCATGTCCTATGGATGCTGGATAGCTCAGAGCTGATCATCAGGACCGAACCTGTCCTGATTGTGGGAGTTGCTTTGATAGGGCATTTTCCCCATTGTGGGCTCATCCCTGAGGCACCATGGGCTGGTTGTGCCCATTGGAGATGTGGCAGTGGTACCTGGCACTGAAAAACAGCAGAAACGGGTATGTGGTACTGTTGCATTAAGGAGCAGGGAGGTACCACTGAAACAGTGTGGGACTGGGCTCAGTAGGATTGCAGAACACTCACAGCTTTCCTCTGCTAGCTCTTACAAGAATAAGGTACAGACTTCCCCATGGTACGATCTGCTCTGCAGCACTGTGACCCCACTGCAAAGGGCTTGCATGCCTCGCCTTCCAGACATTCCCAAAGGCTGGATGAACTGGGCTTTAAACCCCTGCTGTGAGTGCTGCTGGGGCTCCAGCTCCGGCAGGAGGGTTTTGGCCACTCAGCCCTGCCCCATCAAAGTTACAGCAGCTTCCAGCTCTGCTCCTCCCCTTCTTGATTTAATGCCTCTGCCTCTCTCCCCTGAGGTTGACAGCTTTGTTTGACCCTCTGAAAAGTGCAGACAATGTTAGCCTGGATGTGGGTCTTGACATCACAAGGTTCATTTCCTAACCTGGAAGAGCAAAATTCACAACCAGCGGAGTTTTCAGTGCAGCTGGGCTGCAGCTGTGTGGGTTTGCTTCACCTTGGTCCCTGGTGTGTGTGGGTATCCCCTCTCAGCACCAGCTGCTGCATGCAGCCACTGTCACTGCAGCTGTGACATCCCCTGTCAGCTCCCAGCCATGGCCATTCTGCTTTGTTTCTCCCACAGGGTTTTTTAGAACAATTTGTGAAGTGTTTGGTTTTGTCCAGTGAATTTTAGTATGCCAAGTTTAGAAAAACAGTCCTCTTTTTTTATTGGTAGAATCATTTAAGGTTTATCCACCTAAAAGAGATAGTCTTGATTTTCTTTCCTTTCTTCTTTGCTTTTAGCAAACAAAATCTGAACCCTTTATGTTCTCAGGGCTTATTTTGCATTTGACTAAGCCTCAGTATTTTCTATGAAGAATAACTTAGCTGAGCATTTTTCTAGCTGAAGAAAAATATCTCCATAGAAACTTCTTGTTCTGAGTTTTCCACAAGCCACTTGCAGCCTTAGGTCTGTGCACTTAGCCTTTGCATCCACATGTTGCTTCTGTCATGATTTGCTTGCTATTTTGCTGAGCCATCAGAAGCGGTACCTTTTTTTTACAAATGGTTCCTTCAGAGAAGATTGTATGAGACATCTCCCGGGAAGCTGTCTGTCCTGGCTCCCCCTCCTAGGCTGCACACTTTGCAGTACTTCAGGAAGGAACACAAGCTCAGAGCTACCTTTTTTAGAGCCTGTTATAATGGATTCTTTTACGCCTGGCCCCATATTCTGCAGCACACTCTTTTATGGTTGTGCCTCCCTCACAAAACTGCTTCCTGACAAGGTATCCTGCTGGGATTTGGTGGGTGTGTAAAGAGCGCAAGTTGTCCTGCACCTCCCAAGCAGCCTCAGGACGTGCAGTTCGCGTCTGCCCACAGCATCCTCTGCAGTGCCACCAGCAAGGGGGGAGCCAGGGAAGGTGGGATGAGGTGCCCCATATGGACAGGGCTGTGTTGTACCCTGGTGACTTCATGGGTCTGGCTGACTGTTCAGCAAGCCCAGTAGTTCTGTGGCTTCTTGACTGAACAATCTGCCAGCCTTCAGCTCCTTCCAGACCACCAGGAAGAACAGGCCTGTTCGCTGAAAGCCCTTTCCCTCTGCTTTTCACTGTAGTCCATGAGATGTCCCCTGGCCCCAGGCATGAAGGAATTCTGTTCACAGTGCATAAGCAAACAGAAGTCCTGGGCTCTGCCGGATTTTCCAGTTGCACTGAGCAAGTAATGATGAACTCGGTCAATGGGGTTCAGTTTATACAGTGAGAAAGGTTTCCAGATCTGTGTCCTGCAGGCCAAAGAGTCCATGGCAGAAGGGCGAGGTCTGTTTGCAATCGTGCCCTGTGTTTTGTCTTGTAGGCTAACAATTCATGCAGAGTGCCCTATGCACCTGGAGGACTTCCCAATGGATGTGCATGCTTGCCCGCTGAAATTCGGCAGCTGTAAGTACCCTGATCAGCCTCTGCAAAAAGGCAGGTACAGAGCTAAGGAGCACTCCCTTGTGTGGCTAGTGTTACTCAGTATTTTAGTAGTTTTGTTTTAGGGTTTGTTCCTAAAGTGACTAGGAGCCAAACTCCAAGCCACTGGATCAGCATAATGTGAAATTAAGTTTCCTAGTCCAGCTCTGCCTGAAGTCTTCTCCAGGTCCACCAGCACCACTCTTTGTTTGCGTTAGATGATTTACCCACCTGCAGCTAAAAAAATGAGCCCACACCAGTATCCTCCCTTTTGGACTCTAAGAAAACAGAGAAGTCCTAACCTTCCTAAACTGATCCTTCCTGTAGCCATTTGGGAGTTAACTAAGTGTGAAGTTGAAAAGTTTGATTGACAGCAGAAGAAATTGTGTTTATCATGTGCATCTGCTCCTCTGCCTCATGACAAACTGAATCCATGAAACTGGATTATTCAAAACTACTGAAATAAAGCTATTTCTTAGGCAGCACCTAATTAAATGTAGAACCCATTGCCACAAGACATCACTAAGGCCAGTAAAATAGCAAGCCTTGGAGAAGGATGAATTATTAATGTTAATTGACCTTGTGAGGAGGGATATAAAATCTCATACCTCAGGCCTAAACTCTGGGATTATTACAAGACTTGCAGGAAGGCAGATTACTCCACATCTAATTACTTATAATGTTTCTTGGTGAGGAAAAGAGATTAATGTGTATATTTCTGCTGGAACACCCTTTGGGTATTTTTTTTTCTGGTTTGACCTCTGAATGATGATAGTTTTGAGACAAGCAGCTCAGAAAGCTGCCCCTGGTTAACATTAGTGTGGCTCTTTCTAAAGCACCTGTCCTCACAGCATCCAAGCTCACCTTTCCTGTGCTGGCGCAGGATTAAACCAGTGTTTTCACTACAAAGCTAGAAGCTGCTCATTTTGAAGAAGCTTAGAGTGGGTCAGACTTGTAAGTAGAAGGACAATGCAAGTACCAGACACATGTTATTCCAAACATAACTGAATTTTTCTCAGTGACCACTTTTCAGTGATCCCCACATTATGAATGAGTCATCAGTGGCCTTTTGTCCCTGTACCATCCTGGCAGCCCCCCAAAGAGGGAAGGCAGAGAATTTGAAGGAGAAGTAAAGGCATCAGGCATTTCGGAGAGCTTCAGCTGCCCACCTGCATCATTCCTCGGTCCAAGTGGAGTGAAGGTGATGGCTTTACCTACCACCATACTCCCTAGAAGATGAATGTACACCACAGAGAACTGTTTCTGAGCCAGGCACAGTTACTTGCTGAAGTTACTAGCTCCACTAAATGTCCAAGAGCTGTCCTTGTTTGGATTGGCTTGGACTGCATTGCAAGCAAGGCATTGAGCAGAACCAAAACAACTACATGGCACTAAATATGTTCCAAGCATCTGTGCCGTGCCTGCATGACACCAGATACCCGTCTGTCCCAGACAAACAGATATGTAGACAAATGAATTTTCAGGAATAATGGCAATGAAACTGTGGGCAAGCTCCCTTCGTAGGCTGAGAGCAGCAGAGGTGTTGCCCACCAGGTGAAAGAGCAGTGGCAGAGCTGAACAAAGCTCTGAAGGAGGATGGAGGTCTCCAGAAGCATGTTGAGAGCTGGAAGGAGGGGTTGAAAAGCAGAGTGTTGTCCTTTGGATGAGATGTGCCAGCCTGCATCAGAAGTGCTTAGGCAGCACACTGGCATGCTGAGAAACATCGGCTGATCATCCAAACCACTGCCCCCACATTATACAGCTCCTGCTTAATATTTAACAGGTTTGCCAAAACTTAGTGCCAGGAAAACAGTGGTTGTTTTAAAAAGATCAGAGAAATCTGGTTGTCTCGGGGCATATTCCACAAAGCAGGAGCTGAGACACTTCTGTAGTAGACCTGACCCATTGCTTAACCCACCCAAAGAATTCCTTTGTGTCTTAATAGGAGAAGCTGCTGGTAAAAATAGTTAAAAACTTGCTTTAGTGAACTTTGTTCTTGCATAAAAAAGTGGTGCAGAGTTGGTATGGACAGGAATTTTGGGCATTATGGGGAGAAGTAGCTCCTAGCAGAGTCTGGAGAGACTCAGTTTCTGGAAAACCATAGGACTGGCAAAACCAAGAGCATGTGGGGACTGTTGAGAGAGGGACTGGCTGTGAGGACAGAGCAAGGGTTTGGTCACAAACACAGGGTCATGCAGGGAAAAAGCATTTTGGTGGGAGGGCACACCACCTCCAAAGCCAAGAGGCTTGAAGAGGGTTCCTTCTCAGTGAGGGTAAATATTTTTAGCTTTTTCTCTTTAACCTAAAATTTAACTCCATTTGCATTTAGCCTTTCTTGCCAGCTGCTGCCAGCATGACTTTCCCTGTGCCTGGCATGACAGGGCTGTGGCTGTAGTGCTGCCCCAGCAGCCTGCTGGTCTGAATGCCTTCCTATCTTGTGCCCGCTTGAAGCCAGCCCTTGCAGAGTCAGCATGTCAAGGGGACAGCATGTCTCTCAGTGACAATGCTCTGCCCCCTCTTCAGCTCCCTTCCAAAAACCCCAGCTCCCTCCTGCTCATTTGATTTAACTGTTGTTGATCTGCCTTGGTCTCTGGCCATACTTGGCTGTGCTCAGCCATGTGGCTCTGAGGAATGCACAGCAACGATTAATTTGTCTACAGGCTAATTTTGGTATATTTTAGGTCAGGCAGAAGCACAAACCTCATTCTTCTTTCTCCTCTGCAGATGCCTACACAAAGACAGAGGTGATTTACACCTGGACACTGGGGAAGGATAAATCAGTGGAAGTTGCAAAGGGTGGATCTCGCCTGAACCAGTATGACCTGCTGGGCCATGTTGTTGGGACAGAGATGGTCCGATCCAGCACAGGTACTGGTGGGCCCACAGTGAGATGCATGGACTGAGCACACCCTCATGGATGGACCCATGGGCTTTAAATGCCACAATTTGGCATAATTACAGAGGCAGTACAGTGAGGAGCACAGTACTTCTCAAGCCACATGCTGTTGGAGAATATGGCTGGTGACATCTGTAACAGTCACCAAGAGGCAGTAAAGAGTTTAGTTTGTAGTGTATTCCACTGAAAAAGCCTTATCGTCTATAGTCTTGAGAAAAGCTGATCTCAAGCATCTAAAAGTGTTCTGTTGTGTGGAAAATTTACTCTGTGTTGTCCAGCTGGTTCTTGGTACTGTGGGTTCATTTGTCTTGGATTCCTTTCCAGACCCTCAGGAGAGCACTGCGGGCAGGGGAGGCGAAAGCAACATAATGTTCAGTGTGATTTTCACTGCATCTGCTTACACAAATATTATCATAGCTAATAGAAGATTATCCCAAACAAATGTTTCCTCTGATTAATGACCAATATTAATCATCTTTCTCTCCCATCTGCTGCTCCTCCCTCCCCCTCTGAATCCAGGTACTGATAGCTTCTGTTATCTCATGTGTGTCTCTCATATTTCTTTTTTTCTTTTATTTTTTTCTTCTGTATGCACCAGTAGTTCTCTCATTTGAGGATATTTCCTCTCTGGTGCACTTGATTTTAATAGTGTCTGTCTGTAACAACTCATTTCACCTCCCTTGGGGAAATGTGGGGAGCCCAGGGAACTAAATGTCATAATATCTGGCCCATCTCTCTACTTAAGTTGTAGTAAAATGTACAGATGAATAACCTGAAGTGGTAAGAAAGCTGCTAAAGGCTCCTGTGTGTAACAATTTAGCAGAGCCATGCTCACAACATAAAGGCACAATAATCCCTGAAAATATCCAAAGCTTTGAGTGGAGCAATAGGACATTGAGGGAAAATAGGGACAGCTGCTTCTTTGATTCACAGGTCAGACCTTTGACAACAGAACTTGTCCTGATTTCTGAGATGGTTACAGTGAGGAAACGTGGAATATTTCCAGGATTGTCAGAGAAAATAAAATCCTTTGTCCTGATATCCCCTTGAAGCACTTTTAGGGTCTCTCTAGGTTTAAGGGATCTTACCTACAGTGTGGCTCCCTGGGCTGAAGCAAGAAAGGGATGGGAGCTGGGACAGGAGAAACCCCCAGGGGCACGTTGTGCCTGGGGTGAAACAGGGAAAGTTTATTGCCTGGTTGTTGACTTTGATTTGCCTTTGTCCCACAGCTGTTTTGTAGTGAATTAAAGACATCTCCAGAGAAGCGTTTTGAAAGGACAAATGCTCTGTGAATGTCACACGGGCTCCACTGGGGCACACGCCTGGCACGGCTCAGCAGCTGTGTGTGCAGAGGCAGTGCTGACAGTGTGCTGCAGCATCCACCCCTCCTTCACGTGGCTCTTGGGGTGGCCTGCAGGACTGGAGGATACCAGGGCATGCCAGCCAGGAACAATATGACACGCACATTGCAATTCAGTGAAGAGCTTGAAAGTTTGTTCAGGACAGATCTTTAGTGTTTTAGAGCTGGACTAGTGGTCAGCTGGCCCCATCCTGGAAAGCACAGGGTAGCTCAGCATCTCTAACTACCTGTCTCTGCAGGGGAATATGTTGTCATGACCACACACTTCCACCTCAAGAGGAAGATTGGGTACTTTGTGATCCAGACCTACCTACCCTGCATTATGACCGTCATCCTGTCCCAGGTGTCCTTCTGGCTTAACAGGGAGTCTGTTCCTGCCCGGACGGTGTTTGGTGAGTCTGGGAGCACAGGGGCATCTTCTTGGGTCGGGGAGGAAGGCACCACAAATGAAGGGAAATAGACTGAACATCAGAGCTGGTCTTTTTCAGGCCTTGGCTGACATCACTGAAGCTGCTGGCTATTTCCCAGGATAGCTTTCAGTGTCTTCCCAGTGCCCCTGCTTCCCCTGAATCACTGCAAAAATACTCCTGTCAATGTTTCTGCCACATGCCAAGCCATAAATATTAACAGTAATCAAGGTATTGATCATCTAATTATATGCATTTGGTTGTGTCTGCTTATCTATATTGGCTTTTGAGTTAAGGAGAGGATAGGTACATGGGGAGGCATTTAAAGCTCTACCTTTGAAATTGCTAATGTGCCCCTGATCAGAGCTCCACATAACAAGTTCCTGGGCTGAGGCAGCATAACTGCATGGTGAATATAGTGTTATTATTTCCTTCAGCTAGTTTCAGATCCTCACTCCAAGGCGGAGTGTCAGCTGGCATTGCGCATCTATTAATAGCTTTAACAGACATTTAATAACATAATTGCTTTGTGGTTTCCTGTCAAGACCTTTAGTTCAGGATCTACACAGACACACTCACAGAGCAAGTGTGATGCTGCAGGATTGTATTTCCTGGAAGTAACATTGCCCAGCAGATACCACTTAACAGAGAGTGTATTGGACAAAAGTCCCCAAACAGAGAGAGGATATGTTGTACCACCTGCTCATGTTTTTGAATAAGACAGAAATTGGTGTGGTTTCAAAGATCATGAAGCATTTTCTCTGGAGCAGGAGTCATGATGTAAATACTCCCACAAACTCAACAAGGCTAATGTCTTCCTTTCTGGACCCTCTCCACAGGCCTGGACTTTGTTCCTGTACTGTGGACTGGACTGGCATTCAGGGAGGATCACAGGTGGTTCTGCACCCTCCTAAATAAACTAGAAGGGAATCATTATGGGTTTTTTTGTGTTCACTGGGGCTTGTAAAATGTAGGTCACGAACTAGCTTTAAAATTTACAATTGACTCTAGCTTCTTCCCACTAGCACCAAGTTGCCTTCTCTTGCCCAGTAAGGCAAATCTGACAGTGATCCCCAGGGTGGAGGCAGACCTAGGTTAGTACAGCCAAACTGGTTTGTGTGGTCCAGACTGCAAGAGCTGCATTGGACATGAATAACAGTGAGGAAGAGGGGGCATGGCCCCTCAGCACCCATGTTTTGCTGCTTCCATCCAACAGAGTGGAAAAGGGGGAGCTCAGACAGAAATCATGTGGAAAATTGGACCACCTCAGGCATATAAAGAGTCATTGATGAACTTTACTCATTAATCATTTGCAGTTAAACTGCACACTGGACCCTATAGCTGTCCATGCTCCAGGAGGGCTCTTACATCAGCATCTGGAGTACCTGTGCACCCTTGACAGCAGGGACAAGCTCTTCTTTGAAGGCTTGATTCCCTCCTCTGTTATCCTGAGAATTGCAATTAGACAGGTTTCCTCAACTAGCAGCTCAGATTGAACAGGAAAGAGCTGACTGAAAAATTAGAACCAACCTTTGTGAAAAATGTCTTTGCTCCCAAATTGCCTTGCTTTCCTATTAAGAAAATAATGAGAACTTGAATTGTTTATTCCTTTTTTTTTTCCTTCAGAAAGTTTTGTCAACAATATTGAATTGAAACTCTTAAATTACCAGGAGTATGGCTTAAGGGAACTGAAAATTAGTCAATATTTTTATAATGTTTTTAATGCATTTTTAATTGAAAAGCACATTATTGGGGAAAATGGATAGCAATGGTTGCTTGCTTTAATGAAAAACGCTTTAAAAGGCATTTTGCAACAGATCATTTTTTTCAACGTAAATCAATGTGACACTTATTCTGGCAGCTTGGACCACTGATAGGTGCCTAGCCATGCTAACAGGATCCAGGATCCTAGGTGTCCATCCATACAGGTCATAAGACACTATTTCTCAAACATTGAGAGAGCCACATTGGATAAGTGGCCAGTTTTTGATGCTCCCTCAGATTCCCAACCATCTAGCTGACCTTTTTACTGTTATTTTACTATTTCTATTTTACTGCTAAAGCAACTAGAGGCTTCTCCGTGACATAATTTACTTGAGGGAGCTGGGTCTAGCCTCATGCAACTTACCCTACCAGCAGGCAAGGAACTGAGTACAGGTACCTACCTGTGCGCTAGGACTCTTCTATGGTGAGTAGTAGATGGAGTTTGGGGAAGGTTAATCTCATCCTAATGAAGATCTCTGTGATTGATTGTACTAAAAAAACTGAACCAGAGAAGGCCCTGACCCACCTGAAGTCAGCCCTGATTTGAGCAGGGGTTGGACAAGATGTTGCTTGAAGAAGCTGTGACTGGAAGTGTTATCCCTGGAAGTGTTTGAGGCCAGGCT